CCAGATGTTTGGTGTGAACCTGACCAGGACCACCACAGTGGATGCATGAAGATGGGAGTGTGAGAACAACGTGAAAACTACAACCTGGACAAGTGTGTCACCTGACTGAAACGACTAAAAACTGTCCAAAATGGCACAAGATTTGTCCAAATAACTTAAAACTGTGTGTCGACGTTTTGACTTGACATCCGTTCAAAATGACTCAAAACTCAAACAAATGGACCCAAAATTGTCTCGAAGCTCTCGCAAAATGACCTCGAATTTATCAAAATAACCGACAAAATGACTTGAACTTTGTCCAAAATACACAAAACCTGTCTAGAAAGACTCACATTTGCCCAAAAATAACTTCTAATTATCCAGTTGTGACCTAATGTGTGTGTGTGTGTTTGTGTGTGTGTGTGTGTGTGTGTGTGTGTGTGTGTGTTTGATGCGTCCTGACTTGAATCCAACAGAACACCTTTGAGGTCTTCTAAAGAAAAAGGTGGAGCAACGAAACCGTCCAGTAAAGATGGTTGGCAGGACGACGTCCGGTCTGACGAACATGTTAACGATTAAAATGATTCAAAACTCATCCAGAGTGACTGAAAACACTTCACCAAAATGACTTGAAATTTGTCCAGAAATGACTCAAAATGTGGCTAAAATGAGCCAAAAATTACAAAAACAATTGATCCAAAAGCCTTAAAACTTTGTTAAAAATGACTTAAAACCTTCCCATGATGCTGGTTTTATCCACAGTGACTTTAAACTTTGCCAATATTACTCAAAACTTTACCAAAAATTGCCTAAAATGACTGGAATCTCATACAAATTAAAATTGTCCAGAATGTTCAGGGCCTATAGTCCCCGATGCAGCAGCCGTAGGTTTGAATCCAGCTCATGGCCATTTGCTGCAGGTCCTTCCCTCCATTCTTCTCCCCACTTTCCTGTCTCTCTCTCTACTGTCCTGTCAAGTAAAGGCACAAGGGCCAAAAAATAACTTAAAAATGTCCAGAATGACCCATAACTTCTTTAAAATGACTCAAAACTTGAACAAAATCAGCCAAAAATTCCTAAATAAATTGTTTCCAAATGCTTTAAACTTTGTCCAAAATGACACCAAACTCGACCCAGTTGAATTAAAATTGTCTAAAATGACCACAAACTCAAACGGCTGGTGACTTAAAACGGTCCAGAATGACCCAAAACTTCTTTAAAATGACTTAAAACGGTCCAGAATGACCCAAACCTTCTTCAAAATGACTTAAACTTTGTCCAAAATGACTCTGAACTCGACCCAGTTGAGTCAAAATTGTATAAAATGACCACAAACTGAAAAGGCTGGTGATTTAAAATGGTCCAGAATGACCCAAAACATCATCAAAATGACTCCAAAAACACCCAAATTTGCCTGAAACATCCGACTATTCACACCTATCCAGGTCGGTTGTGGGTCTACATGCGGAGCTCTAAGTGGGACTCTTAGTAGTGATCATTGTGCTGCCTTGTGTTCCTTCTGTGGGGCTTTTATTTTGATATAGTAAATATAAAGTGTGAGTTTTATCAGAGGAAACACTTGATTCCTGTAGATCTGAATCACGTGACATGTAATTGCCATCGCTCTGGGCCGTCTCCAGTCAGAGCTGCTCCACCTGAGGAGGTGGAGGTGAGTCCTCCTGTCCACGTATCGCCTCCTAATCCTCCCGGTGTGCTCGCTGCCGTATGACAACGCTGAGCCGGCCAACAAGGCTGCAGGATTAGCTCGCTGCCCTTTTCTTTGTGCTGCTGCTGGAGCTCTGGAGGAACAATAATATATTAAAAAAATGACAAAAAGAGACGAAGAGGAGGAGAAAACGGAGAAGTGTCGGGAGGAAAGGCCAGGAGACGAACACACGGGTGATGTCTGACGGCTTTGGCTGCTTCCTCGCTGCATTGTGCACAAATCCTGGGAGAAGCCGAGTGTGTGTGTGTGTGTGTGTGTGTGTGTGTGTGTGTGTGTGTGTGTGTGTGTGTCCGTCTGTGTTTGTGTAGAAATATGAATAATGCAGAGGAGGCCTGTAGGAGCGCGAGGGCCGGGAGGAGGGCAGATGGTGGCCTGCTGATAGGACAGGATCCAGGCAACAGGGTCCTCCAGAGAGCTGCTTCACACCCCGACACACATGCACACGCACGTGCACACTCACACACAAAGAAACGTGCACGCTTCTCCCTTGTCTTTCTTTGTCAAACCACTCTTTCTCTGTTTTTTTGGCCCTAACATTGCACATACTGGCTCAGATTTCAAAATAAAAGCCTCGGTATTGTAGGTTAAACACTAAAACATATTATTCACACGTTTTTGTTTTATAAATGATTGACTTTGAGCTGTGGGAATGATGTGCATGATAACAAAAAGACTTATACGCTATTAGTTCCTCTTAAGCTTCACCTGCTCAAGAGGAAAGTAGTTTAAATTTTACATTTAAAAGAAAAAATCAACATCATTTTTTGACTTTTAAGTTTTATTTTCTGCAAGTTTTATTTACGTGAGGAAGGAAATTCCACTAAAAACCAACAACTGCTTGGAAAATTCAACACAAACTCTGACTTTATCTTTGTTTTTGCTCTAATTAGTACCAAATTAGATCATTTCATTTATTTCCGACTTGTAAAATAAAGTGTTTTAAATATTAAATGCATGATGGGAAACACAAACACACACAGACACACAAACGTGCAGCTTCTCCCTTGTCTTTCTTTGTCAAACCACTCGTTCTGTCTGTTTTTTGTTTTTTTTGGCCCTAACGTTGCACATACTGGCTCAGATTTCAAAATAAAAGCCTCAGCATGAGTAGGTGAGATTGTTAAACATATAATTTACACATTTTAATTACATAAAATGTGTGATTTAAGCTACATGAACTATGTAAATTGGACTTGCACATATATGTTTTTAACATTTCGTCGATATTTTCTGCAATCTGAACATTTATTTGAGCGAAATTTCGCTAAAAATCAACATCTGCTGGAAAAATGCGACACAAAACTAAATAATGAGCTTTCTGTGAACTTTATCTTTGTTTTCATTCTAATTCCAACCAGATTTTAATCATCCTAATCATTGCAACCTTGTAGAATAAAGCGATTTATATATGCAGGGCGTAAAACATGGTGGAAAACTGTAGCATTGGTGAGTGGAACGTGTCCCACTGGAATAACGTTAACGGCATCCTAATGGCGCTAATGGAGGCTAATCAGGTCCAGAGCGACGTCTGAACACACAGACACACAAAGATTCACACGTCTACCTTTTCTTTCTTTGGCAAATCTCTGTTTCTTTCTATTTTTTGGCCCCAAGGTTGCATATACTGGCTCAGATTTCAAAATAAAAGCCTCAGTATTCGTAGCTGTGATGGTTAAACGTAGTATTTGTACATTTTGCCACATAAAATGTGTGGTTCTGAGCTCTGTGCATGATGCACACTGGACTTGCCTTATTATCAGCTATGAGCTGCACATTTTAAATTCCTCACCTGAATCCGTTTGTTTTTGCGTTTTGCTCCACGAAAATCCAACAACTGTTCAGATAATTAGACACAAAACCCTGAATAATTTGGTTTTGCTCTGATTATTACCAGATTATTTCATTTGAATCATCACTAAACTGTAGAATAAAGTGTTTTATCCATGCAGGATGTAAAATGTGGCGGGAAATGACAGAATATTGGGAGAAAAATGTCATTTACTGGATCTAAAAACACTAAAATCACGTTTTGATCCTAAATTGGAGCAACAGTAGATTGTTTTTAAAGCTTTAGTATTAATAGTTGAGATTAACAACATGTATGAAACTGAAGCCAGATTCTTTTCTTTAATATTTAAAAACCTGTAAAATAAAATGTTTTATCTGCACAGGAAGTCAAATCTGGTGGAAAAATGCAAAATTTGGACAAAAACACTGAAGAAATTCAATTAATTTGGGGAAATTTTGGAGACAAGTGAAGCCATCTTTAAATGTATAATTCACACATTTTAATGACATTAACGAGTGATTTTAGGCATTTTGAACCAAATAAACTCGTCCTCATATCAGTACAGGTTTAAGAGTTTCCACCTCGTTAAGACTAAAGTCTTTAACTTTATCCCTGTTTAATTAGCATCAGACGACATCATTTTAATAATTACTAACCTGTAAAATAAAGTGTTTAATATATTCATAAAGCAAAATGTGGGTTGTCGTTTTAAATTAAAGCCAACTAGATCTGAAAATACTAATTCTTTGTTTCATTTGTATTTGTTTCGTAGGATTTTTTTTAAAATAAAGGTTTTATTTTGCTAAATACATTTTTAAAAAATACTCCAAAAACCAACAACTGTTCAAAGAAATTCAATACAAAACTCAAAAAATAACTTTCTTTGAACTCTTCCTCTATTTTTTTTTCTTAAATACTGCACAAACTGGCTCAGATTTCAAAATAAAAGTCTCAGTATTTACAGTTGAGCGAAACAGTGCAGCTGTGAAAATGAAGTCAGGTTCTTTTTTAGTAAACTAGACACTAAAAAAAAAAAAAAAAAAAAAGTTAGAGATGGAATTTTTTTCCATGAACATTCTCTGATGTTAAATATGTTCTTCACACTTTCAGATAAAATAAATCTGTCATTTTGGGTGACATGAATTATAAAAACATTTTGTTGTGAGGTCGAGAGTCAAACGTCAGAAGATCCTCCACGTTTTAAATGAAGTTTTTAACTTTTCAAAGCTGTTCTGTTTTATTTTCTGCAAGTTTTGTTGTTATTTGAAAGAAATTCACTTTAAAAACAACAATTATGTAAAATATTCAACAGAAACGCAAACAAAGAAGTGTTTTAAACAACCTGATCCCTGTTTGTTGTTTAAATAACACCACATAAGAGGATTTTAATGGTTGCAAACATTTAAAATAAAGTGTTTAATTTATTCAAAAAGTAAACTGTGGTGGAGAAACAGGAAGTTTTCAAATGTTTGATTTAAATCACATTCAAATGTCTAAGTTATTTTGACACGGAGAAGCTTTTTGAACAAAATTCTTCTAAAATGATCTTAAAACTCTGAATAAATTACTGTCATATTAACCTTTTTGCCTTTAATTAGCACCAGATCACTTGATTTCTTTAAGAACGCTTCCCTGGAAATGACAAATCTGTAAAATAAACCGTCTTTATCCATCATGTTGGTACAATTCAGTGCAGAAATGTTCTTTTTTTTTTCCCCAGAAAAACACACATTTATGAATCTAAAAACCCCAGGATGAGCTGATCCAGTGTAAACATGAGCCAGCAGCTGGTTTGGAGCTTTTTCTGTGACAAAATGAAAAGAATGACATCAACGCTCAGTGCGCAGGAGCGCTGTGCGGCCGCTGGGTGGCGCCATCTGCACATGATGTGATGGAGCAGACGTCAGCTGAGCTCCCGAACACACTGACAGCAGAGGTTCTGGACGACAGCGAGGTTCGGTTTGAAAGGTTCCCCTGCAGCATCACAACACGTCTCACTTCTAATAAAAAGAAATAAATAAAACAAATCGGATTGTTTTAATTTTCGCTCCATATTTCATTTTTGCATTTTTTAAAAATGTTATTTTTATTTTTATTTTTAAAGTATGCACGTTCCTCCAGCTGATGCCTGACACACATGTAGAATTATTTCTGCTTTTAGGCCTGATGGAGGGTTTGTGCTGCAGCTGGAGTGTGTGTTTACATCCAGCTGCAAAACACACACACACACACACACACACACACACACACACACACACACATATGCACCACCAAAATAAAGGCTTTAATTGTTTTTAAATTGCCACGACTGTCAATTAGTTTTCATATTTATCCGGATGAAAATTATTAATTGGCGC